TGTCGGATCCTTAACCACTTGCTTTAAATTAAAATCACAATAGTCAGAAAGACACTTCATATCAAAACCGTTGCTACAGGGATTAAAATCTCCAGCCACAATAAAACCTGTTTCTGGACTTTCAGATGATACTTTGTCATAACACGAATAAAAATAGTCATAAAACTTTTCTAAGTTTACTCGATCAATTGAGGGAGGAAGGTATACACAAGCAACAGCAATTCTCGAAATTGTTCATGGAAGCCACTTTGGACGCAGAATTAGCCACTGACATTCAAAGCTCGAGTCAGAGAGATCATCACGAGTTCTTATTGAAAACTCTTTACGGACATAGATTCCACAGCCCCCTCCAGAACCGATTTTCCTATCCTTACGTATCAAAGTAAATTGTGGGATGTTAACAACTTCACTGGGTATATTGTCCGCTAGCCATGTCTCCGTGACAATGATGATTTCAGCTTTATGCTCGTTTGAATAATATTTTAATTCATCTATTTTCCCCATAATTGATCTCGCATTTACGAGAAGCACATTCGGTAAGGTTCGGGCGGTCGGGTGATATGATGGACTCTCTTTTTTAAGGTAAATCAAGTTTCTAATCACAGGGTTAGATTTTTGTTTGTAGTACTGATAGGGACGCTCGTTATTTCGGTTTGTAGTAATTACGGGTATTGAAAAACAATTGGTTGCATTAGTGGTGGGTGCTACATTGACAATATCTGTCGGACCAGCTTTAAGTGGTCTAGCCATTCCAATGAGCGCGGCGGGGGCCTCTGGTTCGTTTGGCGCCGCCGAAAATGATATTGTGATTCTTTAATAGAATACTTAGAACAAGATGTTAAATGAGACGCCACACAATCACCTTGATTTCTTGAAAGTGATCTTACCGGGTCACTTTTCTTTCTTGAAAGTGGTTTGTAAGGAACTTCAATAAAGGGCAAAAAATTTAACCATGCATTGGATTGCCGGGGTTTCATGACTTGCTCTACTTTACTTGTGTCCACAGTTCTTGTATTACTGGGCCTTGCTATTTCTTCAATATACGTATCAGATCGCATACAATAATTGTTGCATAAATTACCTAACGATTTTGCTCGATCCACTGGACTAGCCTCATTTATTACACTATCATCTGCTTTGTCTAAACTTACGTGTAGATCACAGTTAACCAAATTGGGAGCAGACGACAAAGGATCATTGACATTATTATCGCTTGGATAAATAATTTGCAAGTCAGATTTTACATTACCCAGCATAATTGGTTCCACTGGGATAGCTTCGGTTAAATTAGCCTCCCGAGAGTGTTCTTTTTTCGATTTGCATGTATTCACGGCACTTTCTTTTGAATTCGAACCTGGTTTTTGTGTATTTATACGCACAATCACTTGCGCGAGGGACTCATTTAGTGCTTCGCTTGTCTTAATCTTGTTATCAAGGGAGGCAATGGTTTGATTCAGTTCAATTAATTCAGCGTGTCTGCCTCTTATTAAGACAGATATATCTTCCTCAAGTTGACTACACCTTTCTCTTTCAATAACCAAATCCCGTTCTAATTGTTTAATTTTATCACCTTCATTTGTTGTATTGGCTATGAATGTTTTAGACTCAATATCCTTTTGCATCAACACCAATTCCAACTTAACCCCTTCCAGTTCAACAGTTAAGAGCTTGCAATTACAGTCACACTGATGAACACTCGGTGACTTCTGATAAATAGATTTAGGGCTCACCTTACTATGATCTTCCGTTTGAATGTCAGTCATAGACAAGGCTTCAGATGTAGGAGCATCATTCACTGAGGTAGCCAAAAGCCCGACAATACTATTGGTATTTGATGTTGTCGAGTACATAGCTCTGTCTAATGGATTACTTATTGACTCGCCATTCACCGACAAAGCAGCTATTCCCGTAAAGTCGTCGCGCGATGTTTTCTGGCAGACTTTAATCATCACGTTAGCTAAATCCGAGCTTGATTCACCATGTAATATGAGCGAGTTTTGTTTACCGGGGTACCAAGTTATGGTCAGGTCCGAATCGGAGCATGTGAATTTTTTAGAGCAGCCACCTGGCGTAGACCATTTGCCCTTCAGTTCAATAATTTGTTCAACGAATATCTTCAATGATTCGAAGCTTGCAATCCATTTCAGTCGTTTACCATCATAAACAAGTTTTATGCGATCATCATGTTTATAGTAATCATTGAGTTTTGATTCAAAAGCATTTTTATCTAAAAGTTTCTCAGAGCTAGTTAAAATACAGCCGTCCGCCATTTTGTTATGTATCATGCGACATTATTTACATACAGCGAGCAAAATTATTTACAGCAGGTTATTTACATACAGCGAGCAAAATCGGCCCGACAAATCGCAGCGCGTGTAAACGTACCTTAGGGTTGTACCAGCGAGAGTGAATTATATATCCAGTCAAACCGAGACGCGAATTGAGTCTTAAAAAAAGCTTTAAGAATTAAGTACAGTGGTGCTAAATTTTGGAATAATCTTCCGCGCGAAGCTGTCAATCGAAGCGCAATCAATTTACTCTGTCAGGGCCGTAGCGACGGGGGTATTGGGGGGGGGGGGGGGTTAACCCCCCAACTTTTTTAGAATTAACATATTCGGAAATTGCTGTTGTTGTGGCTAGTGCATCATTAAATTAAGTTTCGCCCACAAGTCGATTCGCCCACAAACCAGAGACGTTTCGCCCATAACTCCTCAAAGTCATTTCGCCCACAAATTAAAAATAATAAAAATTGTTTAAAATACGGAGAAAAAAATTTTAGAAAACCTATAGTATTAAATAAGTACCGGCCATATACGCACCAGACGTTGCTGCTATACAAAACATAACAGATTTGCAAGAATGTTTCCATGAACTAGTTGTTGCAATTAAACGAAAAAGAAAGATACATTTTTGGTCGCTTCTTAGGACACTTTCACTGTTCTAATTTTTAATGGAAAATCACGTTTTATTCGTGAACTTTGACTAGTTTCGCCTTCACATCTTTTGTCTTCAACAGACCTAAAGCCCTTTGCAAACTAGGAAACACTGTTGCGGAAACATTTGTGATTCTCGATGTTTCCTCAAATGTTTCCCTGTTTGCCCACCCGTGGAAACATTGTTGCGGAAACAAAATTTGCTTCCAGAGAAGCAAAAATGTTTCCTAGCGAATTCAGAAACATTTGATGTTTCCCTATGTTTCTCACTAATGTTTCCTAGTGTTTGCACACTCTGGAAACGTGGCGAAACATTGGTAGGAAACAATGTTTCCGCAACAATGTTTCCTAGTTTGCCCAGGGCTTAAGACTTGTAAAAACTATTCTGATTTATACCATATTCACGACAAAGCGGAATCTTGTATATACAGCACTTGTAAATATTGAAACTCACGTAAGTCTGCCAACAAGTCGTCAACAAGATGTATTCGCACTGCTTGTCACAAGTTGTCAACAGGTTTGGAACAACTTGTAACAACCTTGTAAAAATTATCAGACTTGTTGCAAGGTTGTTCTGACAAGTCCGTTACATGCTTGATATAACAAGATTGTTACAACCTTGTGTTGACAACCTTGTAACATCCTTGTTATAT